TTTTTGGAAAAGCTGCATACAGATATATGTATCAGATATCAGAATGTGAGATTATTGCGATACTCACCCAGTCGCATTATTCGCATTTATAAAAACCTTTCGTTTCTGAATTTATAGTATTGTATCATAGAAGTTACTGATTGCAAGCTCAAAGTATTTACTTTGTTCATAAATGAAAATCAGGTCCTGTATATTCAAATATTTGCTGCTGTACTTCAATACTTCAACAATATGAACATTGATCTATGTTAACTTAATCTGACTCTATAAAAGACTTTAGAGGGGACGTCTGAAATATTGATAATATTTGTTCTGATTAATTTGCAAGAACTGTTGCAAGATCGAGAAGTTTAACCCTGACATATAGTCATGTAACATGTGCATATCTTCCAGTCAGTGGTTGTCTTAGTTATGTCATGCCTTAGTGGAAGTCAGATCTTTGGTAGTTAATCATGTTAATTATTAGGTATGATAAGAAGCACTATATGGCGGGTGAAATTGCAAAAATAGTAAAATTACTCAAGCCTTTCAAAATTATATTAACTTTATTGATAAATGAATGGTCATAAGAAGCAAAATATTATTTATATAAGATAACCTTGACAAGGTCAAAAGAATACCAAATCACACCTCTGTCTGATATTTATATGCTACAATTAGTGATGATTACTTGTTATGATTTCTTTGATTAGCTGTTATATGGGGCTCCATAAGGATATCCAGAAATTTAACTATAGCAGTATGGTATATAACTTCATTTCATTAAAAGACAACAAATTAGACTAAAAAGTGGACATTTTAATACAGTCTTGTTTTTTGTTGTTGAAAAATTCCATCTATATTCAGCAGTTTTACTATATAATGCCTATGCAAATTCAGGGACGTCCTAGGACAGTTATCATAAGTTACAATATTAGAGAGGTTTTTGGAATAGTATTTAGCTATAGGGTTATATAATTTTTATGCCCCCGCCGTAGCGGTGGGGGCATTAAATTTACCCTTGTCCGTCCGTATGTACGTACGTACGTCCCAAAGTTGGTTTCCGTTAGTTTGCCTCAACCAAATGTTATGAAACTTATACAAAATGGTTATTACCATAAAACACAGATCAAATTTAAATTTTGATGACGTCGCTTTAACCGTTCTAGAGTTATGCCCTTTTACAAATGGAAAAATTGCTGAATTTTTCGTTTCCATTCTCTAACTTTAGTTTGCCTCAACCAAATGTTATGAAACTTATACAAAATGCTTATTACCATAAAACACAGATCAACTTTGAATTTTGATGACGTCGCTTTAACCGTTCTAGAGTTATGCCCCTTTTTAAATGGAAAAATTGCTGAATTTTTCATTTCCTTTCTATAACTTTAGTTTGCCTCAACCAAATGTTATGAAACTTATACAAAATGCTTATTACCATAAAACACAGATCAAGTTTGAATTTTGGTGACGTCGCTTTCACCGTTCTAGAGTTATGCCCCTTTACAAATGGAAAAATTGCTGAATTTTTCATTTCTGTTCTCTTACTTGAGTTTGCCTCAACCAAATGTTATGAAACTTATACACAATGCTTATTACTACAAAACACAGATCAAGTTTGAATTTTGGTGGCGTCTCTTTAACCGTTCTAGAGTAATGCCTTTTTATAATTTCCATTCTCTAACTTTAGTTTGCCTCAACCAAATGTTATGAAACTTATACACAATGCTTATTACCACAAAATACAGATCAAGTATGAATTTGTGTGGTGTCACTGTAACCATTCTAGAGTTATGCCCCTTCACAAATTGGAAAATTGCTGAATTTTTGTTTCCTTTCTCTTACTTTAGTTTGCCTCAACCAAATAATATGTAACTTATACACAATGCTTATTACTACAAAATACAGATCAAGTTTGAATTTTGGTGGTGTCACTTTTACTGTTCTAGAGTTATGACACTTTACAAATGGAAAAATTGCTGAATTTTTCGTTCCCGTTCTCTAACTTAAGTTTGCCTCAACCAAATGTTATGAAACTTATACACAATACTTATTACCACAAAACTCAGATCAAGAACAAATTTGGGTAGCGTCACTTTTGCCGTTCTTTAGTTATGTCCCTTTATAACTTTATTTGATATGCAAGCGGGGGCATCATCTGTGTCCCATGGACACATTATGGGACACATTCCCCATTTATTTTTAATATTAAACAATATTAGTTTTATTAGGTGTATATATTATTTTCTCTAATTCTTCGTCAATTTATCCCTTTCTGCACCCATTGTATAACAAAAATTTAATCAATGTGTGGTTCGTTTGATCTCAGTTCTTCATTGGTTAAAATCCGATTATGACGTCGAATTTTCTTGCTTTCCTATGAATTTCCTATTGTGACGGCATGAAAAAAGGCGACCATGCCTGATGATGTCACATAGAAAGAACACATCTTTTTGCAGATCATTCGAAAAGAAGGAATAAATTTGCCTGCGTATTGTTTGAAAATCATTAGAGAAACAGATTCCACCACCAAATCTCGTGTAATACGGATATTTATCCACTCTCGACAGTTAAATTTTAAATATTTAACTGTCTCGAGTGGATAAATATCGTATTACACTCATTGCAGTGGTAGAATCTATATTTATCAAATTAAATTGATTTGATACTTTTTAGGAACGAGTATAAATTCTGGTAGTACAAATTAAGGGGTGTATACTACCATTTAGAAGTTGGAAGTATAATATTACAAGTAAAAAGTTAAAAGTATAATAGCACAAGTAAAATTTGTAGAAGTATTATATTTCAAGTAACAAGTTGGAAGTGTATAATACTACCAGAAAAACAGGTTTAAAAGAGAGACAAACTATACCAAAGGGATATTCAAACTCATTTATAAGTCAAATGTTGTGGCAAAAAACGAGTGGATAAATTAATGGAAAGTTATGTTTATGTATTTAGTAGTATTTTACCTTCAAATATTCAATTAAGAAACATAGAAAATCAACAGACATTTTAGGTAAACTTCAAGTGGACAGCAACTCAACAACACAATAAAATTTGAAAAGACATTATACTGTTCTTTGCTATTAGGCAATATTTCTTTAGGAAAAATCGTATAATTTATGCATTGTGAGTTCTGTACTTACTTATGAAGTAAAATTTTATTTTGACTAAAAGATCAGAAGATTTTGAAAGATTGCATAAAACAGATTTTAAAAAATTATCAAAATCAATTTCATACAATTAGCAATCAGGTGCACCCATAATATCATGTCTATAAAAAAAAAACCTATGCATTTCATGATTTTCTGTTAGCTACTGATATAACCTCTATCTTAGCAGATCAATAATTCACCTTGACAAACAGGAATGATGTTAATACATCATAGGTAACAGGTTGGTAGAGGTACCAGGTACTCTTATAGAAAATCTAACATTGTAATTCCTCATAATTCACATAATTAGAACAGGAAGTTTTTTTATGTACATGGAAATAGGAATGCAAACAATTAAAAGATTTTTGAATATTTTTTTCTGTATTTTTTATTCAAGCCTCCCAAACGAAGTGGTTCATTTTCGGCAGAATGATTTCTAAGAAGAATTGTCACTTGATATTGATTGCCATTCATCAGATTCATTTACCAAAGATTCTTGGCTTGTTTATTAATTAAGCCTTAGTTTAAAAAGAATAGAAGTTCCTTCCATTAGAAATAATAACAAAAATCATGGTGCTATACATTTTTTGGGGAATTTTATTTATTGGAAGCTTTAAGTTTGGTTTTATCTTTGTACTTTATGACAGGAAAAAAAGGAAATTTCTTGACATTTTTTTTCTCATTTAAAAAAAATTGCATTAAAAGCTTAAAAGCAAGGAATTATTTGAATCTGGATTAATTTTGAATTTTGAACAATTGATAAGAAATTTATGATGAAAACTAACCTAATTAAAGAGGGTTAGTCATGAATGCATGGCTAATGTTAATGTTACTTTCACAGATATTTCAGTATGAACTAACTAACCCCCCTTAGCCATGGCTAACCCTCATAAATTGGTTTAGTTTTCATCATATATTAATTTCTTATCAATTTTCCAGAATTCAAAATTATTCCAGATTTAAAAAATTCCTTGTTTAAAAGTTATTTTTCATTGTTCAAGCTAAATGTGCATACAATTTTATGGGATGTCCCATTATAAAATTGCTAAGTTATGTGCTCAGAGGAGGTTGTTTTGATTTACGAGACATTAACCTGCTGGTAAACAGGGATACAGGAGGACAATTAATGTCTCATTATATTAAAATTATTAAGATATGACTATGAGTTGGAGAGGAAGTTGTTATGATTTACAAGACATTAACATGTTGAGATTCAAGGTTTGAACTATTTTTGGTAAAGACACAATCTTCGTTGTTTTGTAGATTTTTATCTTTTCTATCTTTTGTACCAATATTCTGAAGTTTATGTCTTGATGTTTTGGCATAAATTTGATTATGGGTGTATTGTTTTCTTTCTGATGATGTACATGTTGCCAGGGTTACAAAGTATTTTCCAAAGTGATATTATGATTACACAGACAGTGCAATATAATTTGTACAGTAAAACATCTACTAGTCTGGTCTTCATTCATGTTTACATGCATTGAGGCTCTGATTAGGGTAACTTTTAGCTATTCCAATTTATGGAGTCAGTTATGAGAGGATCAGAAGGGTAACTTATTATAAGGTATATATATCAGTATTTTAGAACTTTTAACTAAAGATTGAGAGATGCAGATTTAATTGAAAAATAATATTTACCACTTTCTCCTGTTTCTAAAACAACTGTGAATTATTTTTTTTCCCAATGATGTATTTTATAAAGTTTTAGTTTATATACTGTCTGTCTGTCTGTCTGTCTGTCTGTCTGTCACAGCATCCTTGATAGACGGTTTGATAGCTAGATTCCAGTGAAGTTTCAACATATCTGTACTTTATATATATATATATATATTATGATATGAAACTCTTTTATCTTTTCAGAATTACAAGAAGAAACATTAACCATGCCAGAATTCAAACAGAAATTAAAAGGGAAGAACCTAACGTCCACACCAAAAAAATCCAAACTGGTAAAAAATATTGACTCAGTGGAAGTTGAATCAGACAGAAGTTCTGATGGTTTGTATTTTTTCTTTTTATACCCCACCTAGGGGCTTTATGTTTTCCGTCTCTGTGTCCGTTCGTCTGTCTGTCCTGCTTCAGGTTAAAGTTGGTCAAGGTAGTTTTTGATGAAGTTGAAGTCCAATCAATTTGAAACTTTGTACACATGTTCCCCATGATATGATCGCTCTAATTTTAATGCCAAATTAGAGTTTTGACCCCAATTCCACGGTCCACTGAATGTAGAAAATGATAGTGCGAGTGGGGCATCCGAGTACTATTGACACATTTTTGTTTATGAGTTTATATGAGCCTATGTAAACCAGGCTAACCAATTAGAGGGGAGACTCTCCTGTTTTTATACGCCCGTTTACGGGACATATTATGGTATACCTTTGACCGTCTGTCTGTCCGTCTGTCCGTCTGTCCATCTGTCCGTTGTCAACATGTCGGACATTAACTCAAAAACACTTTAACCAATATGCATGAAACTTTGGTGAATTGTTTTTAACTATTGAGGAGAGCTCCCTTTCATTTTTTATAAATTTCTGATTTACCATTTCCGAGTTTTGGGGTTTTATTCATTAAAAAAGGGGGGATTTTCCAGTTTGTGGATGATAACTCAAAAACAATTTCACCAATTTGCAAGAAACTTTGGTGAATTGTTTATTTCTATTGACACGAGCTCCCTTTGGACTTTTATAAATTTTAGACTATATTTTTCCGATTTATGGGGTTTTATTCATTACAAAAAGGGGATTTTCCAGTTTTTGGACAATAACTCAAAAATGCTTTCAGCAATTTTTTTAGAGACTTTGGTGAATTGTTGATATCTATTCAGTATTGATGTAAGCTCCCTTTAGAATTTTATAAATTTTAGATTTTACATTTCCGAGGTATGGGGTTTTATTCATTAAAATAGGGGGGATTTTCCAGTTGTTCGACAATAACTCAAAAACAATTTCACCAATTTGCAAGAAACTTTGGTGAATTGTTTATTTCTATTGACATGAGCTCCCTTTTGATTTTTTTAAATTTTAGACTATACGTTTACGATTTATGGGGTTTTATTCAGTACAAAAAGGGTGATTTTCCAGTTTTCAGACAAATTGACTGATTTATATCTATTAAGATAACCTCCCTTTAGTTTTTTATAAATTTCTGATATATTATTGAGAAGTTATTGTTTGTTTATAGTCTAACAACAGATTTACTAAGTATTGCGCAACAGCACAGTGTATTGCACAACAGCAAGAAATCTTTAATTGAATATAAATTTAATTCATATAACCAATTTCAAGTTCTTTGACTACATTTATTCAGAAACCTATAATATGTCAAATATTTAATTACAATCCAAATTCAGACCTGTATCAAGCTTGAATATTGTGTCCATTTTTGCCCCAACTGTTCAGGGTTGGACCTCTGCGGCCGTATCCAGCTGCGCTCAGCGAAGCAGTTTTATTATTTACGTTCCTCCCACAAGACATGTCTCCTTCTAAGGGAGGTATGAATCTTGATTTGAACAAAATCACCATAATGATATTCCAAAAGTACAATATTCAAAATTCATGTTCCTATAGACACGATGTTTTGACTAATTGATTATTCAACAAAATTTGCCACTTTTTCAGATTTTCATTTACCTACTACAAAAGGAAAATTTGCTCCACTGTAGACTGAATTTTCAGGATTAAAGTATTCTAATGACTGTTTATTCCAGATTTCTATATACTAGGGACCACAAGGAAGGACCTAGTTGGAGACAGAGGTATAATATAGACTGTTTATATTTTTAGATTTCAATATACTAGGGACCACCAGGAAGGACCTCGTTGGAGACAGAGGTATAAAAGGGACTGTTTATATTTTTAGATTTCAATATACTAGGGTCCACAAGGAAGGACCTAGTTAGAGACTGATGTATAATAGGGACTGTTTATATTTTTAGATTTCAATATACTAGGGACCACAAGCAAGGACCTAGTTAGAGACAGATGTATAATAGGGACTGTTTATATTTTTAGATTTCAATATACTAGGGTCCACAAGGAAGGACCTAGTTGGAGACAGATGTATAATAGGGACTGTTTATATTTTTAGATTTCAATATACTAGGGACCACAAGCAAGGACCTAGTTAGAGACAGATGTATAATAGGGACTGTTTATATTTTTAGATTTCAATATACTAGGGACCACAAGGAAGGACCTAGTTAGAGGCAGATGTATAATAGGGACTGTTTATATTTTTAGATTTCAATATACTAGGGACCACAAGGAAGGACCTAGTTAGAGACAGATGTATAATAGGGACTGTTTATATTTTTAGATTTCAATATACTAGGGACCACAAGCAAGGACCTAGTTGGAGACAGAGGTATAAAAGGGACTGTTTATATTTTCAGATTTCTATATACTAGGGTCCACAAGGAAGGACCTAGTTAGAGACTGATGTATAATAGGGACTGTTTATATTTTTAGATTTCAATATACTAGGGACCACAAGCCAGGACCTAGTTGGAGACAGAGGTATAAAAGGGACTGTTTATATTTTCAGATTTCTATATACTAGGGTCCACAAGGAAGGACCTAGTAAGAGACAGATGTATAATAGGGACTGTTTATATTTTTAGATTTCAATATACTAGGGACCACAAGGAAGGACCTAGTTGGAGACAGAGGTATAAAAGGGACTGTTTATATTTTTAGATTTCAATATACTAGGGACCACAAGCAAGGACCTAGTTAGAGACAGATGTATAATAGGGACTGTTTATATTTTTAGATTTCAATATACTAGGGACCACAAGCAAGGACCTAGTTGGAGACAGAGGTATAAAAGGGACTGTTTATATTTTCAGATTTCTATATACTAGGGTCCACAAGGAAGGACCTAGTTAGAGACAGATGTATAATAGGGACTGTTTATATTTTTAGATTTCAATATACTAGGGACCACAAGCAAGGACCTAGTTGGAGACAGAGGTATAAAAGGGACTGTTTATATTTTCAGATTTCTATATACTAGGGTCCACAAGGAAGGACCTAGTAAGAGACAGATGTATAATAGGGACTGTTTATATTTTTAGATTTCAATATACTAGGGACCACAAGGAAGGACCTAGTTAGAGACAGATGTATAATAGGGACTGTTTATATTTTTAGATTTCAATATACTAGGGACCACAAGCAAGGACCTAGTTGGAGACAGAGGTATAAAAGGGACTGTTTATATTTTCAGATTTCTATATACTAGGGTCCACAAGGAAGGACCTAGTAAGAGACAGATGTATAATAGGGACTGTTTATATTTTTAGATTTCAATATACTAGGGACCACAAGGAAGGACCTAGTTGGAGACAGATATGTAGCAGCTGAATTTGAGGATGGAACAACAAGACCTGTATTTAAAAGGAAACTACAAAAAACTATTGTAGAAGGTTGGTTAATTTTACATTTGAAAATAAGGAGATATTGTATGATTGCCAATGAGACAACTATTCACCAGAGACTAAATGAAGTGGAAGGAAGCAACTATAGGTCACTGAATGATTTTTGTCGAGCCTGCGGCTTTTGTCGCAGAAAGCTTGACATAGGGATAGTGATCCAGCGGCCACGGCGGCGTTAACTAACTACAAGCTTAATATTTCAGAAGGTAGAAGACCTGGATGCTTCATACTTTGTATATAGATACCTTATGTTATGAAGTTTCTGTCTGTCATATGTCCTTTGTCCTTGACCTCATTTTCATGGTTTAGTGACTACTTGAAAAAAAAGTTAAGATTTTTTGTAATGGTGATTTCTTTAAGTTTTCTTGGTCAAGTCCATATATGAGATACTATAAGCAATAGGTCTACTATATTTGGTGTATGGAATGATTGTAAGGTGTACATGTCCAACTTCTCACCTTGACCTCATTTTCATGGTTTAGTGGTTTAAGTTAAGTTTTTGTGTTTTGGTCTATTTTTCTAATACTGTAAGCTATGAAAGGCACAGACATGAAAAAATGAAAAACAATTCCAATGAGAAAAATATAAGCCTGATTTTTGATAAAACAATAAACAAACAAAAATCTGACTGACAAAGAATAGTATATTTCTCTCCCATGTAATTTTGGTAATTTGGCTTCCCATGATACCTATGGTGCTTTTCAGAAGCCCTGTATGGTGTCAGAATTCCATTTTGTACATACATTTTACTCAAGTCATCCATGGAAGTTCTGTTTTGAATTAATTTCATGTAAAATTAACTATAATAACAACACATTGTGATATCTATTTATTGGAGCCTTTTTACAAAGATAAAAGAATATTTATTCTTGATGGCAATTTCTTAAAGGTTTCTCAAAAGGTGACCATGCAGTCTAAAAGTTCTAACTGCAAATTACTTTATTTCTTTAGATAAATGTTAGGTTAACTGAATTTTAAGGGAATATTTAACTGATTTCAATCAAATGTGCAGGATTTTCTCGCTGTGTTGAAGACCCATTGCTGGCCTTCAGCTGTTTTCTGCTCTTTGGTCGGGTTGTTGTCTCTTTGATACATTCCCCATTTCCATTCTCAATTTTATTGGATTGATTTAACAAAAGAAAAATGACGAAAAGCATTAAACATTTTTACTATTATTTATTATTTTCTTTGCAGAAAATTCCACAGCAAAGCTAGAATGTGAAGTTGCTGGAATACCACAACCAAAAGTCCTCTGGTTGAAGAATAACAGACCATTGTTTGAATCAGACCATTGTAAGGTCATCACAGATGGGGCCACACACATACTCGAGTTTACCGACATCAGAAAAGGGGACACAGGCCTATATACGGCCAGAGCTATGAATGTTAATGGGTCCACAATCAGCACGACAGAATTATATGTAGGAGAAGGTAAGTCATTTTTTGTGATAAAGATTATATGAAATGCAATCAAAACCATAATGTCCCTGGCTTGATAGCAACATCATCCAAGTCTTATCTCTACCTTTGAGAGTTCAGACAACATAGTGTAGTGAGATGAACATTCCTCAGAACATATCCAGTCTAATATCAAACAATTGATTATTGATATATGCTCAGATATATTCAAGTTATAAACTAATGTATAAGTGTAGAACTATACTTGTAAAGTATACTATTATATTTAAAATTACACGAGTTGTAAATGGCCAATGAATTTATCTGTTCTAAAAAAAGGGTCAAGTTCAACTACAATTGTAGACTAAGGAAGATAACTCTAATTCAAAAATATTTCCGAAATGTTACATTTCAATTCAATGTTTAATGTTAAGTTTACATTGCAAAATGAAAGTTATCTTTACCCTTCAGTGCTCACAAGCACTGTGATTATTGGTCCCATTACAAAAGCATTAATACAAAAGCATTAATCAGTACAAGCTTTCTTGCACTGGATACACTTTTCAATAAGTTACGTCTCTTCGTTGATGCTCAAAGCCAAATTAGGAGTATGAATAACATTAGATTTGAGTGGTTCATCAATGAGACAGCAACCCGGGAAATATTTAGAAACCCATTTAGACGAAGATACTTAAATTCAGCTGAAAAAAGTTTTTATGTGTTATAATCTGATATTTTTTTCCTGAATGCACTTTCACTTCCAGATGTTGACAGGTATGATACTGATAGCATGTATCTTCACATCTTCTTTTATTCATATAAAACTATAAAGGCCATTCAACGAATGTCCAAAATCATCTACTTTCATATTTGCCTTAGGGAGTTGCAAAATTAGATTCGGTAAAATTTCTCTCTTTTTTTCTTTTTTTTTTTTATCTTAGTCAAACCAATACACGAAAACAGTCCCTAAATTTATATACCCTGTCTTACTGAAGAAAAAACAAATGGTGATGATAATTATATATATACTTTTTTAGTCCAACCAGCCTTGCTGAACAAATACAAAGAAGGACTATCAGACTCAAAGTACCAGACCCCAGCATACTTCTTCCAGATGAACAGTTGTCAGGTAGAAGAGGGTCGATTGGCTCGTTTTGACTGTCGTGTGGTAGCATACCCTAAACCTGAGATTGTATGGTAAGAATAACTCTATATGAAAGTCATCAGAATTTGGTGGATTTTCTTGAATTTTATCTTATATTCATACCTCTTACTTCCAAAGTCCTTCAACAAATTGCTCTGAAACAGTTACTTATAATCTTCATTAATTTGTCAGAAGTATATTTTTTGTCTTTAACTATGGAAATAACAAAAAATATTATAGATGTTCCATTCACACAATTTGGGCAAGAGTTATTTCCCTTTTGTTGTTTGTTGCATGTTGGAGGTCTAAGTGCACAAATTGCTTCATAAATCAGTGAAATTCCATTTGTTATACAGACCAGTAAACTTTATGATAAGTTGTTTTCTGAATGATTTTAATTCCCTTTAGCCTTGCTTGATTCCTCACTATGATCTAGTAAGGATCTCTTATCAGACTTACTTGTACACTTTGTTTCAATTTGATTAGTCAAATTGAAAAAAAATCAACCAATAGTCCTCCAAAATGGTAAGCCATGGGAATTAACTCAAACTGAAATTATGTCATATGGAAACCTATCCATACCCAAATTTGTTATGTCATTTTAAGTTATGATATTAAAAATGAAATACACTGTTGAGAATGTTATTGTTTACTTTGGATTCTTTGATTTTCGTAGGAACCAATTTTCATGGATTGAGGTGTCAACGTATATTTGTTCCGCCTAACAGATGTTCCACTAGAAACTTTGTTATAAACAATGCCATAATATCTGTTCCAGTTGGAAGAAATATTCTATACCATTTATTCCGTTAGGAACGTATACTGTAATATTTATTCCGCTGGATATAATATTCCAGAATACTTTTTCCATTTGGAACTAATATTATGAAGGAACTTCTATTTCGTGACAGAGGAAAAATGGTACTTTCGTTGGAAATTTGATTTTGTGGTTTGGTCAAAGTCTGCATACAAGCCTTTAGAAATGTTTACTTTGTTGAACCTTTAAAGTGTTTCACCTTTACCCACGAAATCCACGAAATTTGGTATCCCATGAGTTATAATGTATCCACAGTATTTGACAATAAGATGACATTAATATTGATATATTTTACAGGATGAAAGATGGAAAAGTAGTGGAGCCAAACGACAGATACAAACTACTAAACTTCAACAATGAAATCTATTCCCTTCTAATCCAGAATGTTGTCAAGGAGGACATGGGAAGATACACATGCTGGGCTCACAACAAATATGGAGAGGCTATGACAGAAGCTTATCTCAATGTCATTGGTAAGTAATTAGATCTATCGATGGCTGATTCAGGTCAGGATGTAGACAGCATTAGCTTCACCCTTTGATAGAAAAAATGCTATTCTTGGTCATTAACTCTTCAAAAAATATGGAGAGGCCATTACAGAAGCTTATCTCAATGTCATTGGTAAGACTAAACTAAAATATAGTTGTCTTTTAGGTTTCTCTACTTATTCTGTTTTCTTTATACATCAAATTGTCTACTCTAAAAAGTACTTTTTTGTTTTCCTTAGAATTTGCCACTTCCACTATTGATTTAAATCTATGCATTTTGCACTAATGGCTGTCTTGGAGAAAAAAGGTGATCAAAGGACATGTTTGAGTCTTTGAGACGGGTCATTATTTTGCTGCTGCACATCAGTTTTTTGAAAACAAGTGAATAAAATATTTGGTTTGACAAGCTTTTATCAAATGATACATTAAATACAACATATTCATTATAACTATATAAGCCTCTATACTTAGTGGATTAATTATTTCATTGACCTTTATTCCAAATGTAATTTCATAAATTAAAAAAAAAAATATTCATCTTTTTGTTTTATTTTCACAGCTTTTCATGATCAGCAGGAGGAAGGTGACATTTCACCGCAGTTCCTGACAAGATTTTATGACCAAACATTGACAGAGGGCGTGCCTGCTGAATTACAGTGCCTTATTGATGGCCGTCCATTTCCAACAATCAAATGGCTGTTTAATGACATTGAAATTATACCAAATGACAATGTTCACGTTTTACAAGAGAAAAACTTGATCGGTCTATGTATTAAGGAAGTGACCTCAAATGACCTTGGTACATACACTTGTAATCTGAAGAATGCCCTTGGAGAGGCCTCATGTAGTGCTGGATTAAATGTTCTCAGTGAAAAGATCAAGAATGTACCGGTATTGCCAAAATTTTTAAGGAAACTATCTGACCAAAATGTCAGAACGGGAGAAGGTGTCACTTTTGAAGTTGTTGTGATAGGTGAACCACCACCGAAGGTGACATGGTTATTTAATCATAAACCAATATCAGTAAGTATTCAATTTAATTTGATGTTTTCCAAGTATATTTTCAATTTAACCAATTTCCTGGATTGATGAAAAATTGTAATTGAAGATTCTTGATTTCATTCTTTTGACAAATTCCAACTTTGGATAGGTGCATAAACATGTGATTTAATAAATTATTTTTATCTGTAAAAAAGAAGAGGAAAAGAACTATGAAACTGACTTTATTAAATAAATTGTAATTTGTTTTTCTTATATTGCTGAAAATTTACTACAAAGGACTAGTTTCTGCATCAAAAATTTTAAGTCATAACTTCAGTATATAGTCAAAAAAGTTTTTTTTCTAATTCATATTTGTGATTTACTCAAATAAGTCATTCAAATTTTTCTATAGGAAACTCGCAGAAGATTTAAAATTAGCCAGGACGGAGATGTCTATAGACTGACCATTGAAGACTTGATTCTAGATGATGATGGTAAGATCACATGTAAAGCTGTGAACACTGAGGGAGAAGTCTACTCCAGTGGAAACCTCCTCGTTAGAGAGTCCAGAAGGGCATCAGAAAAACCAGAAGAACCAAAGTATGTGTAGTTTATTTTACAACAAAAACTTTACTTGAGTTAATCTTTCTTTTTTTCTTTTTTTATTTGGCAACTTTTCTCTTTTATAAACAGCCATTTAAAAACATTGTTAGGTCACTTTACCTATGAAAAATCTTGAGGTCAGCCTGAGTAAAATTGTTTTAAAACCTGCAAATTTTACAAAATGTTCTCACAAGAAAGTTTGTTAAATGGGCACTTTTCTCGTTTTTTATATAGATTAGACCGTTGGTTTTCCCGTTTGAATGGTTTTACACTAGTAATTTTTTGGGGCCCTTTATAGCTTACTGTTAGGTGTGAGCCAAGGCTCCGTGTTGAAGACCGTACTGTGACCTATAATGGTTTACTTTTATAAATTTTGACTTGGATGGAGAGTTGTCTCATTGGCACTCATACCACATCTTCTTATATCTATCTACTAGCTGTCAAATTCATGTTCACCGATTTGACTCAAATTCTCATATTCAATTTAGAACAATGTAAAACATTTATCCAAATTATAAAAAGTCTAAAATAAACAATTTACTGGGCATGGGCTCGATAATATGTAACTTCGTTTCATGTGTATTTTAGTCTAGACACCATCTAATTAACTATTGATTTGACCTCCGAAGACCTCCTATGGCCATATAAGGAATATAAACATAGATAAAGATATAGATAAGATAGCGAAAGCGTGCAATTGAATTTTTCTAGGTCTGTTTAATTATATGTTAATTGTCGTTTTTACCTGTATAAGTATGATTTTTTGTGGAATGAATCAGTCTGTCAAATGATTTACCTTTGTTTCACTTTCAATGTTGACATTCTTTTCCTTTAAATAACTTGACACGCACAATTCATGTGTTATCCATCTCTAGCTAAGGGGATCAACATCACAGACCCATTTTGATTTTTTTTACAAGTACCTTTATTTATAGATTCACACAGAAAGATTTTGATGCCAAATATGGCTATTTACCAACATTCATAAAGAAAATAGAAGATACTTCCATTCCTACAGGAAAAGACGGAAAGTTTGAATGTAGAGTGATGGGAATACCGGAACCAACAGTCACATGGTAAGCTTGGAATTATGGTAATACCAGTAGTTATTCAATGTGCTTCAACCGCCTGGAGTGCTGGAGGTCGTGGCTTTGATCCCAGTTCATTTCAAACAAGACTTGAAAATTGGTATTTTCTGTTTCTCCGCTAAACATGCAGCATTTAGGAGTAACTGAAAAGACTGAGGGAACTTCAAAATTTATTGTTGATTTTGAAACAACCAAGTGTGACTACCCTAGTTTGATTGATTGTTGATGCATAAAGCCATTTTTAGAACTGTTGGCTATTTTATGGCAGCCAGCCTTTATTGGTGGAAGAAACCAGAGTACCCAGAGAAAACCACAACTTTCTGCAGGAAAAGTGTTAATCCTAGTCAGTTAAGATCAGAGGCAAACTCAAGCAGGGTTAGAACTCACAGCCTTAGAGTTCACAGTCTAGTGATCACTGCAGATGAACTACTTAGACCACTCTGCCACCAGTGCCCAGTGAGGTTTGAGAGTACATTTGTCTTATATTACTGATAATATGAATTTGTAATGTTTTAAGCCTTTTAATTTTGCTGGAAAGGAGTACATTATATTATTCAAACCTCAAAAGTGATACCAACGAAAAATAATGAATCCACAGTAATTAAACTAAAGTAGTGAGATTATGATAGCAAAGATCTGCTGGTAGTTTTTTAGCTCACCTGGCCCAAAGGGCCAAGTGAGCTTTTCTCATCACTTGGCGTCCGTCGTCCCTCGTCTGTCGTCCATCGTCTGTCGTCCGTTAACTTTTACAAAAATCTTCTCCTCTGAAACTAAATTTAACCAAACTTGGCCACAATCATCATTGGGGTATCTAGTTTAAAAAATGTGTCTGGTGACCTGGCGAACCAACCAAGGTGGCCGCCATGGCTAAAAATAGAACACCGAGGTAAAATGTAGATTTTGGCTTATATCTCTGAAACCAAAGCATTTAGAGCAAATCTGACATGGGGTAATATTGTTTATCAGGTCAAGATCTATCTGCCTTTCAGATAAATTTTCAGATGAGTCCCTGAATTGGTAATTTTAAGGAAATTTTGCCTTTTTTGGTTATTATCTTGAATATTATTATAGATAGAGATAAACTGTAAACAGCAATAATGTTCAGCAAAGTAAGATCTACAAATGAGTCAACATGACCAAAATTGTCAGTTGACCCCCTTAAGGAGTTATTGCCCTTTATAGTCAATTTTTAACCATTTTTCGTAAATTTTGTAATCTTTTACAAAAATATCTCCTCTGAAACTACTAAGACAAATTTAACCAAACTTGTCCACAATCATCATTAGGGTATCTAGTTTAAAAAATGTGTCCGATGACCCCGCCCGCGAACCAAGATGGCTGACATGGCTAAAAAATTTGTACATAGGGTAAAATGCAGTTTTTGGCTCATATCTCTGAAACCAAAGCATTTAGAGCAAATATGACAGGATATAATTGTTCATTAGGTCCAGATCTATCTGCCCTGAAATTTTCAGACCAATCAGGCAACATGTTGTTCGGTTACTGCCCCTGAATTGGTAATTTTAAGAAAATTTTGCAGCTTTTGGTTATTATCTTGAATATTATTATAGATAGAGATAAACTGTAAACAGCAATAATGTACAGCAAAGTAAGATCTACAAATAAGTCAACATGACCAAAAATGTCAATTGACCCCTTAAGGAGTTATTGCCCTTTATAGTCAATTTTTTACAATTTTCATAAATTTTGTAAATTTTTGTAAATTTTTACAAAATATTTTCCACTGTAACTACTGAGCCAAGTTCATTATAGATAGAGATAATTGTAAGCAGCAATAATGATCAGTAAAGTAAGTTCACAAACACATCACCATCACCAAAACACAATTTTGTCATGAATCCATCTGTGTCCTTTGTTTAATATGCACATAGACCAAGGTGAGCGACACAGGCTCTTTAGAGCCTCTAGTTTAGTTGTGGTGAATATAGTTGAAATTGATTTTCAAATTTTAGGAAAAAAGACGGCAGAAATCTGACAAATGATGGTCATTACTTAATATCAAAAGATGGTGGTAACTGTTACTTGACCATCAGGGGTGCCAAAGATCGTGACCAGGGGCTTTATACATGTATCGTTGCCAATGCTGCTGGAGAAAACACCTGTACAGCTTACATGAAACTGACTGAAGGTAAATATTACAATAAAAATATATTTTCAGCAAGATTGATGAAAGATTCTAAAATATGGGCCAGATTTTTCGGTCAAACAACTGAAGTTCAAGACATCCTCTTTGACGATGAGCCTATACTCAAACATACAATGAGATTAAAAAAGTTCCATGATGTTGAGATGGAAAGATTATATGCACAGGACCAAATATATTGAAATGGTTTACAATATCAAATATTGGTTGCATGAGATATAATTAAATTGAAAAAAATTAAAGTTTAAAGGTACTAGGTTACTTGTCTATGGGTTTCTTTAAAAGCTGATATTGTATTGACAAGCATTTATTATAAAGAAAAACAAGATTATAAAACATAAATACTTTATATGATATTTAACTTTTTAGCTTTGAAGGCAGGAGAATACTTTGAGAGGGAGTCATCTATTACACCACTTATAAGAAGAGGAACAGGTGAAGGTTAGTCTATATTTAAGTATCGAAATTTGGATACCTCTCTTTTTCCAAAGTGGTATTTATTAAACCATGTATTAATGTGTATATGCAGGCAATGAAATATGTTTCTTTGAATGATTCGTCCTGAACATGCATGAAATATTTGCCACTGGACATTAAGCAACCAACAATCAATCGTCTTTGAATGATAGGCATTATCCCTAAATTTATAGAAAATATAGCAATGATAACAAAGTATTAACTGGTATGAATGTTTAAAGGTGTCAGACCACCAATTCAAAATCCCTATATATTCAACAATATTTTTCATATTTCGTAACTCACTAAATATTTTACATTAAGTTTAACTTCATGAAAACCATGTATATCCTGGATTATCGCTATTTTACGAAATTTTCCTTTGATCTTACTGACTGATAATTTCCTATCTCAGCACAGTAGAGTGATATGAAAAATTATCGCTAGAAACTAAGGGCGCACGCGCCGTTGTCAATGAAATTAACAACGTCGTCATAGGTAAAATAGCGATAAACAGATTATCATTGGTCATTTCAACTCGATTGTTTTTCTCACTTTTGCCGTACCGGCTCAAGCGAGAAAATCAATCTCGTTGAGATGACCAACGATAATCTATAATTATACATGTATCAACTTTCTACATCAAATTTTCATCCAATGTTTAAAGTCTTGTAGTGACAAATGATGTTTGAGAAGTCCCCTACTACTAAAAATATCATGTTGAATTACTAAAACCTTTTATTAGAATAATATTGAGCACATCTACCCTAAAATTGTATAGCAAGTTCATGCACAAGTAAATTTAGGCTCAAAAATCAAAATATAATTCTCAATCAGAAAATGCTACAGTCATGTAACTTCATTTGCTAGTTATAAGGTAACAACATACCGGTAATCAAAAGCACTATGTTTTGTCAGAGTAGGACTACTTTTATGTTGAGTGAATTGGTGGTGTGACATCTAAACCCCAATCTAAAAGGGGGGCTATATTACAATCATCTTCTCTGTCCATGTCCAACAAATATTTTTGTCACACATTTTTGTCAGGAATCACTGATAAGATGGATGAATTCATATTTGGCCAGTTTATTGAACTTAACATTTTTCGTCATGCATTTCTCCAGTATTTGTTTCTGTGGGACCTCTACTTCCTGTTTTCAGATACTTTGAATACTAGTGGAGTATGCTTAGAACAATAAGACATGCATTCTTGTTTTTGTAAAATTTCTGATTTTCAAAAAACTGTTTTATTTGTCCTTTTTGTTTCTAGACATTAATGAACCTTCAACACTATAAATGTGTCAAGGAATAATTTAATCAAAAATTGAATGCACAAAAAAAGGAATTTTTACATATATAAATTTTTATAACCTATCTTATTTGACACAGCATTTCTGAAGTCATAATCAACAAATGCTGTGAAAATGAGAACATTTCCTTAATTTTAGTTTTTGACATCTCAAAAACACAAATTTTTTACCAAAAAACAAGAAACAATGTTGCCAAATTGTATGTCCACCATATTCCTCTCGTTACAAGTGTACACATTTTTATATGACTGCAAAATTATTGCTATTTTCAGTTCCCACAATGCCATATGAAAAACCAACCATCAGTGATATAAGACCAGAATCCACCAGGTTGACATGGCAACCAGTATTGACCTCTGCTCTCTCACCTGACAGCAAAAATATCAAATACCTCATTGAAGGGAGAGAACTTCCTGATGCTGACTGGAGAAAATTAGCATCTGGTATCCATGGAAACACTCATCTGCTGAGAAACCTCAGACCACAGAGAGATTATGATTTCCGAGTGAGAGCCGAGAACCAGTTTGGGGTCAGTGATGCAACAACACCAGCCATGTTAGAAAGACCAAGACCAGGTATAAATGACACTCGGATTTCTTTTACAATTTTCATGGACATTATATTTATAATGGGAGGGATGTGGTGTATTAATTCATACCTTGGATTGGTTATTATTCGTAAGATACAAATTTCGTGGGTAAAGGTAAACCATGAATTTAAATATCCAACCCAGTTCAAATTTTCTGTAGGCTTGTAAAATGTCTGCAGACTTTGGCAAATTCACAAAATCAAATATATACAAAAACACAATTTTCTTCTTTACATGAAAATAAATGAATTCCAAGTATCTCAAAATCCCAGCATGCACTGGACAGAAACAAAAGAACAGGAACAGCAATTGTATTGCATTTCCTTAGCTCATAAACACAGTAAGACCTAAAGCTCACATCTCATTGCTAGTTCAAGATGGCCAACAGCACTATTAGTTTGATCTATAAACTAAATAGATAATACTACACCCTTGCATTTGACTGACACAGTTGAGTGATCTTCTCCACAAAATATTCAAAGTACAAACGGCTTTTAACTATTTCCAAGTAGAACTTGTTCCACTGCAAGTCTCTTGAATTAAATTTTCCTATTGTGAAGGAACAGATTGAGTTAAAGTTCATACCATTCGTATTAGATACTTTCCTTATATTTTATAATTAATTGAAAGATATGTTTTGGAGATAAAAAAAATCCAAATTCCTGTAGAAACAAAAAACAGAATTTTGAAATCATGAAAAATATTCTAATAACAAAATTTCAGACACTAAAGGGGGAAAATTTCAAAGTTTTAAGATATACATTTTGTACATGTACTTTAAATTCAGAAATTATTGTGTGCATGTATTATTGCGAATTTTTTTAAGAATTCAATGGACAAAAATTGGAGATTAATTATTGCGATTTCAAGAAAATCTGAATGCAGATAAATTTATCAGATAACAGAATGCAAGTTCTTATCATTGTGATACTCACCGAGTCGCATTGATAAAAACCTCACAATAATTTCTAAAATTTCAGTTTTTGACTTGATCTCATTGTAAAATAAAAAAATTCTGCCACTGGCACTGCTATCATAACTGTTTTCTTTTTTTTTCAGAAGTTGATGACTTTGTCGACAGTATGAAATCAAAGGTACCCCAGTTTAAGAGTAAGTAACATTTAAATCTTTTTACATACTGAATGACAGATTCAGATTTTATTATTTTTTGTTTCTTGTTTTCTTGTTTGAAGGCATTTGTATCTTAATTTAAATTGATAAAATAGATGCAGGGTAAATGTAATGACACAAAATTAAAAAAAAATATTCACAGTTCCTCTTGACTCTTTATTATTTCAAGAAGATTGTCAACAGCCAGAGACTACTTATGGGTCTGCCCAACATAATTCTACAGATTAACAATTTAGGAAAGTTGTTTGAAAAAATGTTTAAACACAAGACAGGACAATATGCACAGCACAAGAAATGAAGATTTTAATTTCACATTCATTCACATACAGTGTTTAGTGACAGCCAATTGTCTGTACTTTCAAGCTCTTCCCAGATGTGATAAAATATGATCCAACCCTTGTCACTTTGTGTTTAGAACCTACCATAATATATTCCTGTTCATTTCCCATGAGTCACTGTAATTACATCCCTAAAAATGTTGCAGACTTTTGCTAATCTTTTTTTTTTGGTAAAATTTGATTGTTGTCAAAGTTCAGATTTTTTATATGACCGCAAAAATATTTTGCGGTCGTATATTGGTATGACGTTGTCGTCGTCATCGGCAGACCCATTGGTTTTCGCACTCTAACTTTAGTTTGAGTGAATGGATCTCTATGAAATTTTACCATAAGGTTCAATACCACAAAAGGAAGGTTGGGATTGATTTTGGGGGTTATGGTACCAACAGTTAAGGAATTAGGGGCCAAAAAGGGGTAAAAAATAAGCATTTTTGTAACTTCCAGACATAACTTGTGTATTAGTGTATGGATCTCTCTGACATTGTACCACAAGGTTCCATATCACAAAGGGAATGCTGGGATTGATTTTAGGGGTAATTGCCTCAAAATTTTAGGAATAAGGGGCCAAAAAGGGGAAAAAAACAAGCATTTTTCTAGTTTCAGGACAATAACTTGTGTGTAAGTGTATGGATCTTTATGAAATTGTACTACAAGGTTCCATATCACAAAGGGAAAGCTGGGATTGAGTTTGGGGGTAATTCCCCTAAACGTTTAGGAATTTGGGGCCAAAAAGGGGCCTAAAAACAAGCATTTTTCTAGTTTCCAGACAATAACTTGTGTTCAAGTGTATGGATCTCTCTGAAATTGTACTGCAAGGTACCATACCACAAAGGGAAGGCTGGGATTGAGTTTGGGGTTGATGAATCATTAGGGGGTTCAAAAAATTTGAGGGAGGGATTTTTTTCCCCCTTTTTTTCCTTTTTTTTTCTTTAAAATTTTCCATTTTAAATTGGTTATTTCTGATTTATATATAAAGCAAATAAATTGATACGGATTGAATAGGTAAATTAAAAATGTTTAAGTTCTTAGACCACATTCATTCTGTGTCAGAAACCTATGCTGTGTCAAATATTTAATCACAATCCAAATTCAGTGCTGTATCAGCATGAATGTTGTATCCATACTTGCCCCAACTGTTCAGGGTTCGACCTCTCCAGTCGTATCAAGCTGCGCCCAGCGGAGCATTTTATTATACAGTATTTTAAACTGAATGCAATATTACCGTGTATGAATAAAATTTCTATATAGAACTGAATATGTGGTCTATATACTGCTGATGATTGGTAACATAATATGGCACTATGAATAGATGCTGTGAGTTTGATGAAATAGTAAGTTTTTTGTTAAATCAGGGAAACAATGTTTTTAACTCATAACTGTATACATTTTTAACTCATAACTGTATACATTTTTAACTTATAGGACCTCCAGAACTTCCAAAATCAAAACCATTGATAGCTGACTTTGGAACAGATTCAGTCAAGTTGGCATGGCAACCAGCTTATGTACCACCTGCAGTAAAGACTGCACCCCCAGTGTCATACCGATTGGAAGCCCAAGAACTTCCAGCAACTGATTGGCTGCCTTTGAGTAGCAGACTAACAGATACAAGTCATTATTTATCAGACCTCCTGTCAGACAGGGACTATAATATCAGGGTCCGTGCTGAGAATAAATATGGTCTCAGTGAACCTACAGAATCTATTTGGATTCCAAGAGCAAAAGGTACACAAAGATGCTGTAATAAAATATTCCTTTGAAATCAATTTCACTGCTACAGTGAAATTAATTTTGTGTTTGATATAGATCCAAATGAAAAAGATTTGACTTAAGTGAGTGAATCTGGTTCTTTTTTTATCTGAATAAGATGACCTCTTTAACAAGGATCCGGAAATTTTTCCAGACAATTTCGGTCATTTTGAGATGTTTGAAAAGTTGGTGCCCCTTTTCAAATTGTCGATATCAACTTGACTATATTCATAGCATCAACGAACATGGCGAACTTGTATTGCTGTTTCATCGCATTTACTAAGTAAATGTCTTACCATTACCATGAAGGACAGTTTAGGGAAGGCAACAGTCTAAAATTAAATGATTTTAATGACTCAAAATGGTTAATTTCTCAGACATGGCTTACGTTTCTTTCGATTTGACAAAAGTTAAAACCGGAAGTTTGCGATATTTTAATGTACGAATAATTCCGGATTCATATCCGGGATTTGTTTTGTTTATCAAATTGACAGGAAATCACCGGCTTTTTATGGCTTTTTTATTTTATTACCTTTAAAAGTGTTTGAATATAACAGATAATAGTTGCACTCGTTTAATTTAGCATGAAATCAATTTGCATTTTACGATTAAATATTAAATTTGCTGAAGACAATTTCACGCATGCGTATTACATAGTAAATAAAGCACATGTGTTACTCATGAAAAAATACTTTTTTCTATGTAAATTTAGATTTAATTTATAAATCAGAATTGATGACTGTCTTTGATGAAAGGTAAATAAATAATGAATACACTTGTCAGGAAACTTTAATGTTTTAAAGATATTATTCTGAGCTTGTGATCACTGTCAGGTGTGAATTAAAACCACAGGTAAAAAGTGATTAGCGATCATCAGCCAATGTTTCCCGGAGGCATTGATATAGATATTAGGAGGGCCCTCAGGATTATCAAACTACTGTAGTGGCAGTTTTATTACAGGAAAGGGATTATAAACAAAAACAAGTGATCACAAGTGCAAAATGGCGACTAAGAAATCCGATTTCAAACATTGAGTCAATGAAATGACCGAAATTACTTCTGTAAAAAAATAAAATTTGTCCTAAATCCCAATTACTCGTTTAGGACAAATACTTTCATCTTAGGACATGACTGGCAAATATGACCGTTTCCGGACCCTTGCTCTGTAAACCAAATTTTTGTGGACACTTCTTTTCATGTTAGCCCTTTGTAGTCAACTTCACAGTGATTTATTTTCATAATTTTTAGTCATACTTGTGAAGATCCAAGTTTTATATGTTTGTGACAATCTTTATTCATTCTACTTTTTTACACACAAACAATTAGTTGGTTTACAGTATTTTAAATCGTCCAATGGTAACAGGGATCAGTAAGCTTAGGTAAAATTAGCTGTCAGCACAGTCATTGGAAGATCGGCAAAAAAAGAGGCGACTTTATATTGTTGAGTAAAATCAGTTTAAATGTTGTTTGATTGATGATGGATGGATGGATGGCTGCTTAATGTCCATCAGCAAATTAATATGAATATTCAGGACGAGAACTTGTTAATGTGATATGAATATTAACCCTGCTTTGTACTAGAACGACATAAAAAGCTGAACAGGATTTTTAATGTGCTAGTTCACAAGGTAACAGTCCGCAAGTAGACATGTCACCTTACCCTGACACATTACTCTGACTCCAAGCCAACCAGTCTTTGCTCTTACTCGTTAATGCTGTGTGCTTAGCGGAGAAGCAGCAAATACAAATTATAAAGTCTTTAGTTTGACCCGGCCAGGGTTTGAACCCACGATCTTCAGCACTCGAGGCGAACATGCTACCACGAGATCATCGAGGGGATTTGTTTAATTGAAGGAATCTTTTTTACAATATTGGGCAAATTAAAGAACTAATAGAATCTTTACACATATAAAGTAAACATGTTTCGATTTCTTAAAATCAAGTACCAAAAGTGCAATAAAAACAGGGTAAAATGAAAAGATACAGTGAAACAGGATTTTTTTTTTATTTGTTAAAAGACAGTAGTGCAAGTGGTTGTCAAATTTTGACAATAAAATAATTTTTTGACAATAAAATAATTTTTTGAAGACAAGATGAAGAAATAAGTATATTTGATGAATTTTAGGATTTGGCATTCAATTAAATTGAATAATTGAAAAAAATGCATTACACAAGCATATGCATAAAGAGTTATATAAAACTCCATACAAACATTTCAAATCGAAATTCAAACAATTTCAAGTTCACTCAATTTAATAATAATTTATTCAAACAGACCAAAATTTGGATAGGTCATTATTTCATTTTGCATTTAATAATTCCAGCGTTCCCAGGTGTCCCCATTTCAAGACCAGAGATAACAGAAATGGAACCACACATGGTCAAATTACGATGGGAACGTGTCGATGTGCCATCATTCTCAGCTAATGACAAAGACCTAATGTACATGATAGAAATGCAGGCACCACCTGTCAGAGAATGGTCCACTGTTGCAAGAGACATACCAGGAACTGTCTATGTTGTGTCTGACTTAGAACCAGGCCAGGACTATAAATTTAGGGTCAGGGCCCGTACTCCGTTGGGTAAGGTCTCTGAGCCTTCACCAGTGACATCAGTTTACAGAACTGTTGGTAAGTTTACAGTTGAAAATATTAATTTTTATGCCCCCGTCGTAGCAGAGGGGGCATTAAGTTTTACCCTTGTCCGTCTGTACGTACATATGTATGTCCCAAAGTTGGTTTCCGTTCTCTAACTTTAGTTTGCCTCTACCAAATGATATGAAACTTATACACAATGCTTATTACCACAAAACACAGATCAAGTGTGAATTTTGGTGGCATCACTTTTACCGTTTTAGAGTTATGCCCCTTTAGGGCTATTTCATTAAAATGTATGTGGGAGGGTAGGAAGGGACTTTAAAAATGTCCCTACAACCAAGAACCATTTTTTAGATAATTTTGCATAATGGTAATAGACGCATACTGAAAAAAGACCCATGACCGACATTCATTAATTAAACTTCCCTTCCTACCCTCCCACATATATTTTAATGGAATAGCCCTTACAAATAGAAAAATTGCTGAATTTTTCGTTTCTGTTGTCTAACTTTAGTTTGCCTCAACCAAATGTTAAGATACCTATACACAATGCTTCTTACCACAAAAGACGGATCAAGTTTGAATTTCGGTGTTGTCACTTTTACCGTTCTAGAGTAATGCCCCTTTACAAAAGGAAAAATGGCTGAAGTTTTGTTTCCATTCTCTAACTTTAGTTTGCTTCAACCTAATGTTATGATACTTATACACAATGCTCATTACCACAAAACACTGATCCAGTTTGAATTTTGGTGGCCTCACTTTTACCTTTCTAGATTTATGCCCCTTTACAAATGGAAAAACTGCTGAGGAATATTCGTTTCTGTTCTCTAACTTTAGTTTGCCTCAACTAAATGTTATGAAACTTATGCACAATGCTAATTACCAGAAAACACAGATCAAGTTCGAATTTTAATGGCGTCACTTTTACTGTTCTATAATTATGTGCTTTTATAAATGGAAAAATTGATGAATTCTTCGTTTCTGTTCTTTAACCTAAGAGTGCCTCAACTAAATGTTATGAAATGTATACACAATGCTTATTACCACACAACTCAGATCAAGTACAAATTTGGGTAGCGTCACTTTTACCGTTCTTGAGTTGTGTTCTTTTATAACTTAATATGTAAGCAGGGGCATCATCTGTGTCCCAAAGAAACATTCCCCATTTATTTAGTTAATCTTATTACAAGATGTCAATTTTATTAGCTCACCTGACCTGAAAGGTCAAGTGAGCTTTTCTCATCACTTTGCGTCCGTCGTCCTGCGTCCGTCGTCCGTCGTCCGTAAACTTTTACAAAAATCTTCTCCTCTGAAACTACTGGGCCAAATGCACCCAAACTTAAACACAATCATCATTCAAGTATCTAGTTTAAAAAATGTGTCCGATGACCCCGCCAACCTACCAAGATGGTCGCCATTGCTAAAAATAGAACATAGGGGTAAAATGCAGTTTTTGGCTTATAACTCAAAAACCAAAGCATTAAGAGCAAATCTGACATGGGGTAAAATTGTTCATCAGGTCAAGATCTATCTGCCCTGAAATTTTCAGATGAATAGGACAACCCGTTATTGGGTTGCTGCCCCTGAATTGGTAATTTTAAGGAAATTTTGCTGTTTTTGGTTATTATCTTGAATATTATTATAGATAGAGATAAACTGTAAACAGCAATAATGTTCAGCAAAGTAAGATTTACAAATAAGTCAATATAACCGAAATGGTCAGTTGACCCCTTTAGGAGTAATGTTCAGCAAAGTAAGATTAACAAATAAGTCAACATGACTGAAATGGTCAGTTGACCCCTTTAGGAGTTATTGCCCTTTATAGTCAATTTTTAACAATTTTTCGTAAATCTTAGTAATCTTTTACAAAAATCTTCTCCTCTGAAACTACGTGGCCAAATTAAACCAAACTTGGCCACAATCATCATTTGGTTATCTAGTTTTAAAAATGTGTGGCGTGACCTGGTCAACCAACCAAGATGGCCGCCACAGCTAAAAATAGAACATGGGGGTAAAATTCAGTTTTTGGCTTTTAACTCAAAAACCAAAGCATTTAAAGCAAATCTGACATGAAGTAACATTGTTTATCAGGTCAAGATCTATCTGCCCTGAAATTTTCAGATGAATCGGAGAACCCGTTGTTGGGTTGCTGCCCCTGAATTGGTAATTTTAAGGTAATTTTGCTGTTTTTGGTTATTATCTTGAATATTATTATAGATAGAGATAAACTGTAAAAAACAATAAATGTCGGCAAAGTAAGATCTACAAATAAGTCAACATGACCGAAATTGTCAGTTGACCCCTTTAGGAGTTATTGCCCTTTATAGTCAATTTTTAAACATTTTTTCGTAAATCTTAGTAATCTTTTACAAAAATCTTCTCCTCTGAAACTACTGGGCCAAGTTAATTATAGATAGAGATAATTGTAAGCAGGAAAAATGTTCAGTAAATTAAGATGTACAAAGACATCACCATCACCAAAACACAATTTTGTCATGAATCCATCTGCGTCCTTTGTTTAATATTCACAAAGACCAAGGTGAGCGACACAGGCTCTTTAGAGCCTCTAGTTTAGGTTGTGACAGTAACTTTTTAAAATGTGATAACTTCCTGAAAAAAAAAAATTTCAGGTTCAGAAATAACATTTTCCATTTTGAATTACTGAAATGTAAAATAGAAAGAGATTGTGGGGGTCAGGATGATAATTTATAGAAATTTTCTCTACTGTCCGTATGACCCAAATTTGATTAAAAAAAAAGCAATGGTTGAGAAGAAAATTTGTAATGGTAGTACAGACAAATTTATGTCAAAATTTAGTCCAACTGGATATATAAAAGATGAAAATATTCTTTGTGATAAAGAGAAAAGAGAATAAAATTAAAGACTCCTGAATTTCTTTTCACAAAAAATCTTACGATAAGCATTAAAGTTATACTGAAGTATTCATGATTACAAATACTTATCTTGTTAAATAAGTTAATCGCTCAAATTTTAAACCATGCATAATTATATTTTAGCAACTTCAATGGCACCAATTGATTCATTTGAACTTGAAGACCAGGATGTTGACTTTGACGGAATACGTTTACGATGGAATAGAGTGGAAATACCACCCTACGGTACTGATGAACAACCTCTTCTCTATATGATTGAGATGAATGAACCACCATTGGATGAATGGCGTCCAATTGTAAGTGGGCTACCGACTACCAGATACAGGGTGACAGACCTCATACCAGATAGAGACTATCATTTCAGAGTCCGAGCTCTCAGCTCTTATGGAGTTAGTCCACCATCATACACATTGCCAGTTTCTTATCGTAGACCTCTGCCAGGTAAATTAATTGTAATCATACATTTACAGACAAAAATTGCAGTGATTTTTCTTGTTTACCTGAACCAAACTAGTGGCACATTTTCTCTCCATAGCTTTTGATTTTTTATGGCTTTACCCTTTCAAAATATGACAGTGGAATAGGTTTGTGTTGTAGTTTATTGGAAACTATATTCCTTTTCCTTAATTATATTTGTATTTTAAAAAAAAAATTCTTTAAATATGGCTGAAATTTCAATGCATTCTGCAGTTTGTCTAATGTCTATGCCCCTTTAATAGCTTGCAAAATCTCTTCTTCTAGTATAAATTCACTTATTAACATTTACATGACTAAGTAGCAGCCTTATTATCCATAGGTCCAAGCCGTGTTTTGTCAGAATATCCACAAATTGTGTATGATGAAAGTGATGCACTACAGTTGGCATGGCAACCTCCAAGGATCAGCACTACAGAGCCAATCAGATACAGAGTTGAACTTCAAGCTCCACCCAGTTTGGCATGGAAACCATTGGCTACTGGTATTCCTGATACTAGATATCCCATCAGAGGACTTGGACCAAGCAGGGACTACATGTTCCGAGTGGTTCCAGAAACACGAGCAGGAACCTTGGAACCCTTGCCTCCAGTGTCTCTCACCTCCCTGCCAGGTATGTACGATTAAGCAGAAGATTAGACAGATTTTTTTAATATTGGGTTTTGTATAAAGATGACTCTACAATTTATAATTGGAATAGGTATCAATGTTGGTTTTACTTAATGTATCACTGTTTTCCTTTCCTGTGTTGTGAGCATGAGCTTTCATCCTTGACAAATTTCTCTATTATGTCTTTTGAAGTTTTCATGTTATATTTTGTTAATTTGCAAAACCACAAAGATTCAATTTTTCCTTAATCCAAGAAAATTGATACACACAAAAACAAATGAATCCACAGTACATGTTGTCAATAAGAAATAACATGATTTGTTTGGTATTGCTGACTAAAAGTAAGTACTTCTAGTTTTGAAATTTTTGCAAAAATGTTATGTTTATCTGAAGCATTAAACATTATCTGTATGCATGATCTGATTTTTATCCTTTGTGATGAGTTATCTCCCATCCTTTTCCAGCTCCTAGAACTTTCCTTCCAAGTCAACCAGAAATCCTTGATTATAAACCAGACTCTTTCATGTTGTCATGGAGACGACCTTATGTTGACACACACTTACCAATTATGTACCGTATTGAAATGCAAGAACCTCCAAGTGTGGATTGGCGCCCTCTGGTGTCTGATGTTGCAGATACCCGATATCATGTGACAGGATTACAACCGAGTAGAGATTATAGTTTCAGAATTGTTCCTTACTCAGGTTCTGATTACTGGGAACCACTGCCACCTGTTACAATTACCTCTATGCCAGGTAAGATCCCTGTCTATGGTGGACAGAAACTTTTCACAATAGAGGTTATGCATATGTACTTTGATATATGGTAAACATATATAAAAAATGTAAAACTTATATACTTTAAAATATAAAATATGGAAAAACATATATGTTTTAAAATATGAGATATGGAAAACATATATACTTTAAAATATGGAAAATTAAAGGAGTAAATACATGGTATTTGAATTTTTGCCCACTGACAGTTTACAGAACTTTGAAATTGAACTGGTAGGTTTATTAATTAATACTCTGAAAAACTTTGTCCACAAAACTGATACACAAGTCTTACAGGAATTTAACAATGTAATATAAGAAATAATTATATAATTTATATTTTGCAGTTAAACCAAGGTTCAGACCACACGAACCAACCATTACTCCCTTTGGAGACGATTCAATCAAGTTGTCATGGAAACCAGCAGATATCCCAATGTATCCAAGGACACCAGTACCAATACGTTACATCGTTGACATGAGGACACTTCCTAGTTACGACTGGACTCCACTCATGCGTAACATCTTGGACACATCGTATATTGTAAAGGGACTAAGTCCACTAAAAGAGTACCAGTTTCGTGTCAGACCTCAGACAGATTATGGCATTGGGGAACCTACAATGCCTGCTACATTTTATAGAAAACCTGGTAAAAAAAATTAACTCTGTAAATTTAGAAATTATTGCATGCATGTCTTATTGTTGAACAACGGATACAAATGTGGTATTTCAGGAAATGCTGTATACAAAGAATGCTATAGAAATTCAAAAATGCAATTTTTAATTTTTGTGAAACAATATCAGTCTGTCACAATTTTTGCAATAATAAAAACATTGTTATAATTTCTGAATTTACAGTGCCTTGAAGGTCATTCATGCAATTTATGATAACTTTATACTAAGATTAATCATTCTTCTTTTTTAATGAGCAATTTTATAGTGAGAAAAAGTTATGGTTTAAAACTATCTTAAAGTGAGATTTTAGATTATATTGGAAACTTACAAAACCACACAATAAGATATTCCAAAGTCTTAAAGTGACATGCAAACAAAATAATTATCACAAATGTCTATGATTTTGATAAACTCATTATTTATGCTTTCCAGTGCCAATGCTTAGGCGTGAGCCAATTATTTCCAACATCTATGGTGATTCTGTTTTGTTATCATGGCAACCTGCAGAGATTCAAGGTGACTTCAAATTTCCACCAAAGGTGACTTACAGCATAGAGATGCAAGACAGACCAGGAGTTGGTCCATGGACTCCATTTTTGACTGGTATCAATGGAACAAATTACCAAGTTACTGGACTTCGCCCTGACAGGGAATACTTCTTCAGGGTCAGAGGTCACGTTGGTGATGTTTTCGGTGAACCATCAGCACCAGTGTACCTGACACACAGAGCTGGTAATTATTATAATTTTCATATGTTTAAGCTTTGTTTTCAGTTTGAATTATGAATTACTGCTGTTTATATTATTGTCTGTGTGGCACTAGCTTTCATTGATTTCGTGGGTATAGGTGAACCAGGAAACCAAATACTTTGGATTCATTATTTTTCGTTAGATACCAATTTTTGTGGATTTCTTGGACAGGTAAACCACGAATTTAAATGTTCAACGAACTGCAAATTTTCTTTAGGGTTGTATGCAGATTTTGGCAAAACCACGAAATTAAATATACATGAAAATGCAGGTTTTTATCAATCCACGAAAATTGGTACCCACGAAAATAAATGAATCCACAGTATTCAACAAAATACAAATTTCCTATAGGCTTGAATGCAGGATTTCCGAAAACAGCAAAATTGAGTTTCAAAGAAAATACAATTTATTCTTATCCACAAAAAATTGGTATCGACGAAAATAAATGAGTTGACAGAAGCCAGTTACTGTGGATTAATTGTTGTTTGTGGAATACCTATTGTCTTGGACTTCCTGTTCAAAGTTCATCTCTCTTATAAGGACAGTTTTCTCTGGTCTCATTGATGTGACCTTTATATACCCTACAATCAGTTTATCACTAGTTTCATGTTCAGTATTTGTAGGACTCCAAAGATGCTGAAGAACCAAGTTTTTTATATGTGAGATAAACCCTACAATGAGTTTATTAATATTTTCATGTTTAATGGTGTAGGTCACTTCCAAAGATGCAGAGGAACCAAATTTTATTATATGTTGGATAGACCCTAAAACAAGTTTTTCAATAGTTCCATGTTTAATGTTATAGGACCTCCAAAGATGCCAAATGAACAGCCCTACATATCAGAAATGAGCCCTAACTCCGTCCATCTACAATGGCGAGCTGTTCAGTTACCCTCAAAGATAACAGATTATGCTCCAGTAACATACAGACTTGAAGTCCAGGAGCTCCCTCGATCTGACTGGGTAATCCTTGTCGATGGTATACCACACACTGACTTCCATGTAACAAATCTACATCCAGATCGAGAGTATAACTTCCGTGTCAGAGCTATCAACAAGTATGGTTATAGTGAGCCTACACCATTGGTACAAATTAGAAGGCGTGCAGGTAAGTGTTCTTTCATTTTGTACTATGTTCTTCAAAGTATACCAAGTTCTACTGTTTATTTTGATTTACTTACACCTTTTAATACATTATTTTGTATGTGATTGATTGATGCTTGCTTTACATCCAACGGCAAATATGTCATTCATATTCATGATGAGAACCGTTATACAGTAAGTCATTAGATAAGTTGTGAAAGTGAGAAGACCAGAAAGATAAGAAAATAAGAATAGATGAACTTGAAAGTGAGGGTATGTTGGGTCAGAAAATTTGTATTGCAACGTACCACTAATGGATCCATCCAAGTGGTGCCTAGTAGTGGGTGGGACTCAAAATGACACAATTTTTCATAAATAAAAGTACAAAACATCTTGAATAATTTTTTTGATATTTTAAAACTAATTACAAAAATGGGTTTATACAAAATATGGACAATTTGAAAAAAAAAAAGAAGATATGGGGAATAATTCATTGGAACAGCAATCAACCAACACAAAAAAGACATTCATCATCATTTCCAAATTCTTTACATGAAATTTAAGATCAATTCATACATTTTCCATTGATACAAAGTAATGTTTTCCTCTGTTTCTCTGGACAGCTACTTTTCAGATAAAATTCCTTCTTGATATATGTCTGCCAGCATAAGGAGTTATGCAAGGAACATGGGGTTGCAAATTAAATTAATAACACTAGCATCATGATTTTCGTTTTTCTTAGTTCCACCAAGAATGCCTAAAGATGAACCAATGATCTATGACATTGGTCATGGCTCACTGATGTTGTCATGGAGACCAGCAGATGTCCCACACTACCTTAGTGATTCGCCTGTGACATACACAATCTATGTCCAGGAACCTCACTCAACAACCTGGCGTCCATTATATCGAAGGATACCATACACATCATACCATGTGACCAACCTTCATTCAGATCGTGACTACTGTTTCCGTGTTCAGGCAGAAAATATATATGGTGTCAGTCAGCCAACTAACACAGTCAGACTGACAAGATTGTCAGGTAAGTTATCATTTGACAGCAGTGACCTATTTATTAATCTATTTTACAGCAGTGACCTATTCATTAACCTATTTTACAGCAGTGACTTATTTATTTACCTATCCGATGGTAGATTTTATCAAAAGCAATTTAAACAAACTGATTGGCATTCATACCACTTCTTCTTATTTTTATATTGAAAGCCCTTGGCATATAAATTGCTCTGGCAAGACTCTATGGCAAAGTCATTAGATAAAGTTGTTTCATTTACAACAGTTAATGATGGTTAAATGCATTTAGGAACTACATTATCTGCAATTGTTCATTTGGCAGTGAACCAATATCAGTGAAGTTCTACAGAATATTATATGATACTATTGTGCAAATATAATTTATTATGTTTTTTCTCGAGTGGAGATTTCCATTGCACAACTATGTTAGGCTTTACAAATTTTTTTTCTTGGACTAGTTCAATTTTTGGAAATGGAAAACTTGTATTCATATTTTAGTTTGTAACCTAGAAAAATATTACTGTATATTTTTTTGTTTTTAGATTTCAGATCACCAATTGATATTCCTGAAATTTCTGAATTTGACGACACCAGATCATCCCTAATGTTACGTTGGAAACCAAAACAAATGGCGCCATTTGCTGGCAAACCATTGAAATACCACATTGAGAGCTGGGAACCAGTTAAACGCACCTGGAGATCACTTGCCAGAGATATACCAGATACAAGCTACCGTCTGACTGGGTTGTCTCCAGAAAATGATTACATCCTTCGAGTAAGAGCACAGGCAGAAAGTGCATTGAGTGAACCTTCCTATCCAATATCTACAAGCAGATATAGAAGTAAGTGTAAATATTATTATGTTGTACAAGGTCATAGACAGAAAGTGCTCTGAGTGAACGTTCATATTTTATATTTACAAGTACATTGGGGTAAGCATAAATATTATTATTAAGGAGGAAGGGTGATACGGCGGGGATAGAGACTACCTTCTGTAGATCTGTTTAGACATTATGATCTTAAATCAAAGAAAGTGTATTCTTCATCTTAAGAGTTTCTGAAAGATAAACTTGTTCAAAACCCTAGAGGCATTTAATAAAAATTATTCCTTGTGGTCCATCTGTAAACACTGCAATCTTAAGACAGTTATCACTCTATATTTACTGGTTTAACCATTGAAAAAGAATTTTCTGTTTTCTCACATCCTGTTTTTTCTTTCAGCAGCATTTTTATTAGCCTGTCCTTCTCATTTAAGCCATATGAGCTAATCATTCATATTGTTGTTCGTCATAAGCTTTTTCAAATATCTACCATGGAACCATTGATCCAACCAGAACTCAATATCTGTTGGGTGTCTTAATTTCAAAATTTTATTTGCCAATGCTTTATAAACTTAAGTGTTAGCAGTAAACATAATAGATTTAGGCTTTTATTTATCATTTGGTTAAGATAGGCAAAAATAATCCACTTTGTAATGTTATACTAAAAAAAAAATTTGAATGTTTATTTTCAGCAAGGGCACCTATTACTAGACCACAACTGTATGATGTTGAATCTGACTCTGTCAGGTTGTCATGGCAACCCTATGCAGGAACCATAACTCCAAGGAGATACAGATTAGAACTAAGAGAATCTTCAGTACCAGACTGGCGACCTGTGACAACAGACATTTATGGTACTACACACAAAGTGACGGGACTGAAACCTAAACAAGATTATGAGTTCCGTGTTCGTGGAATCACTGAGAAAGGACCAACAGACTATGTGTATTCTGTACCTCTACACAGAAGATCAGGTAAGCAGTGAATTCTAAGAATGAAAAAAAAGAACTCCAAGCGTTAGACTATATAGAGTTGGTATGATTGGTATGCAATTTAAAAAGACTCAAAAAGTTTCCTGGTTGAAATTTATTATGGCCATCAAATTATTCATCATTTTACCATTATGACAGAATAAATATAGACATCAACTTCAATAAAGATTTAAAATCTATTCTGAAAATATATTAAAACCAAAAGCAATAGAGGAACAATTTCACATAGATAGGCCATTTTTTATTTTGCTTATCATAAAGGGAGGCTACTGTTCTTTTCTTTTTTACCTGACATGAGACCAACCAATATGCCATTTAAGTCCAGTGTTTTTTTTTAATATATTGCTCAACCACATTGGACATGGAATTATAACTACTTAAAATCCTTGACCAAGATATTGATTTGTAAAATGGGTTCGACACTGGAATTTCTGAATGGATTATTTCTGTGTTTTGCCATTTAAAAAAAAATGAAAATGGTCAATGTGAACATACAGCAATATTTGAGAGCCAAATGATTTATTGGGGCCTAAATTACACTTAATGCATTTATTTATTCCTTATCTACGACTCTGTTTAGTGTACCCATGTGTATATAACATGAAGTAATAGACGACAAATTCTGGCATTTTTGTGTATATTTCCTCTGTCACAATGCTTATGTTATTACATCACAGTAAGAACCTATTTTTCAATGACTTCATTTATGCAGATTTACTTCAGGTCATTTTATTCGTAAATAAACAACTTGAGATTGGTCAATTGGAAAAAATTTTCTCTTTATCAAATCACTGTGCTAAAATGTGGTATTTATTCGGAAGTAAGCTTTACTGATGATATAGCTTATGTAAATAAAATAAATGCAAATTATTGAGTTTAAAATTTATAATATATATAAATTGTTATGTCCTTTCTTTTGTATTTCTTTTTTCATTCATTCACACTAGTCACTATGTAAAGACATTTCTTTTATATAACAGATAACTTTCAAAGAAAACATCCAGGCCAAAAAATAGAATTAAAATTGTTTGATGTTGCCTACCTACCCACCTAAAAAAACAGCCTACCAGAAAAATTTATGACACAAATCGTTTCAAATTTTTTTTAAAGGTTTTCTTTGTGCTCTAAAACATGTAACTTATGTTGTTGGCCAAAAAAAGGAAATAAGATCCCTACCTACCTACCAAACCCTAGAAGGCATGGGTAGGCAACATCAAACAAAGAATTTGTTAAGGGTGGCTTCAGAAAGTCCTCACTACCTACTTGCTTTATGCACCTCCTATTTTAAATTTTTTATATGCCAATCTTTGTAAGAATCGGGCAATTTAAAAAAAAAAAATCAAAACATGACAGAAAAAAACCTATTGACCTAACCATCCTATTTTGAAGTTACCCTCATCCTGAGTTAGAAACGATAGGTCTTTCATTTCTGCTTGTCTGGTAATTGGAGAAATCTTTGGAAAACTTTTGGTTAAAATGATGACAAATTACAGAGTTAGCTCCCCTGAATTGGTAATTTTTAGTTCATTTCAACCAAATTATATCTTGAATTACCAGAACAGGAAAAGGAAACGAATGTTATAGTCGTGCACCATTATACAATTAAAACATAAATCAATGTCAACTTAAGTGGGTTTTTGTTTGTCATGTTTTCACCACTGCCTGATTCTTAGGCAGATTGGCACTTTAAAATCCAAATAATTTTGTACGTACCTCTTAGAAAAACATTGACTTTACTATATCACTCAACTGGCTCTACTGATTTTCAAGTGTCTGACAGGATCCTTCAGTCATATTCAGTCGTTATGATCAATAAGAGTTGATCAATTCAAATAACTGGCTCTCTTTCTTTCAAGACTCAAGATCATATCTATCGTATTCATTCATCATGATCGATTAAGAGGTGATCAATTCAATCAAATGGCTCAAAGGGTATGATTATTAGTAGTTAGGGTAAGAACAGGGGGTAGGCTGAATTTTTGAGCTCTTTGTTACAGTTTTTCTAGTTTCTTTGGTTATGATTTCATTCAGCAGTCTAAAGTCTGGTTAGCATTATAAGTTCGGAACTGTTCTACTTTTAAATATGTTTAGAATTATTTTGGGTCTAAGTTTTACTTTTATTGCTGTATTGTAAAGTATTAAGTGATTGAATGGTTTTGATCATTAAATGTTTTCCGGTTTTCAAGAATTTTTCCAAACTAATGTTTTAAAAAAAATGTAATGGAAGCTTTTTTAAAATTTTATAATAACTAAAAAAAATCTCCTAATTACTGAATTTTGGAAAAACATTCATTGATTGTACTAAAATGCATTTGGATGCATCTTTCATGAAAAATATTTTGTTCTATCTTTCGTTGTAGTGATTCCAAGGCTGCCCTTAGCAGGTGTGGATGTAGTCAATGTTGACGACGATTACGTTGACTTAAGTTGGCGAATGGTTGACATCCCCGCTTACAGTGCTGATGACAAGCCACTTGCTTTCCTTATAGAGGCTCAACAGCTTCCAAGATATGACTGGCTTCCTGTTGCTAGCGGAATATCAGACACATCATACCGTGTGAAGAATCTACAGAGGAATCAAGATTATGTCTTCAGAATCCGTGGAGAATATCCTTCCGGCCTGTCCCAACCCTCCCAACATGTCCCTGTTTACCGCAGACCAAGTGAGTCCCATGTTTTATCCTCATATATTCCTAATCGTAGCCATAGCAGTAATCGTAGCACGACTATAAGTGCACCCACTGTAGCACGATCTAGCCAGAATGTTGCACCACTTAGTACTAACAATCTTAGATCTAAACAGCAAAAATTCTTAGATAATATACAGAATTTAGATAAGAAAAAGACTGCTTTGCTTCAACAGGTCAGGAAATTTGAAGAAGGGCTGAAAAATTTTGGAAAAGTCGAATTACCACCTCTTAGTCCTAGATCTAGGAGAGATAAATTCCTGACAGAGCAGAAAAAACCCAAAGTAGCTGTAAAAGACAAGAAACCTGACTTTATGAGCACTTTAGAGAAGTTCCGTAAAAAAGAAACCAAACCATTGCCAAAAGCACCAAAATCAAGTATTAGTAGTAGTATGGCTGATTTGACTAGTATAAGAAGATACTCTGTTGGTACAAAGACATTTGAAAGAACTCCAAGCAGAGAACTTTTCTCTTACAAACCATTAAAAGACTACAGGTATGATTCACCATACACTAGTGATATACCCAAACGATCCTCGTCGGAACTTTACAGACCAAGACCAAATAGTTACACTTTGGATGACATTACATTAAGATCAAGGATAAGTGATCTTGCTTCAAGCCGAAGGGAAAGTCCATCACCTATGAAAAGGTATACAGGATCTAGTTCAATGTCAAAATTCAAGGATCGCAAACTGTACTCTAAACGAGAACCAACAATAACTTATGAGAAAAAACCAACCCGTAAAGCATCACCACCCAAAAAACAGGAAGAACAAAGAAGGTCATCCTCTTGGCATGGTGACTCTGGCACAGGAGAAGCAGACATAATTAAAAAGACAGACAATAAAGAATTATTACAGAGAAGTCGTTCTGACTCTCGACATAGGTCGCTTTCTCAGATTGGTCAGGCAGTCTACCATGATGCAGCATCACGCTCATCTAGTATATCAAACAGAAGGTCTGTCAGTAGAGCTCCATCTCTGCCACCTATTGGAATATCATCCCAAATATCCAGCACCATGTCAAAGTTCATGCAATCAGTCAATCGTAACCTATCTTCTGACAGAAGAGGAAGTCTCTCAGACTTGTCATCTAGTAATCCACGTAGGAGTTACTCAGTTTCGACAGATATGAAGTTCCACAAACCAGGAGTGGATACCAAATCAACCTTTAGTTCCAGATCTAGAAGTAGATCAGTAACAGGCAGATCATCATCGTTCCAGAGAAGTTCCACTCCAGTATTGATGGAGAGTATCCCAGACACATCTAGACCATACGTTCCAAGAATCAGAAGTTCATCAGCTGCATCTGGAAGTTCAGTTCCAACACCTTCTGTCTCCAATAGAGGCTCTATAGCAGAGAGTGGACGTATGGGGCGCCCAAGGAGGTCATCAGTTCTGTCTTCTGATTCTATGCCAAAACCTAAACAAAAGAATGTAACTTACACATCATATACCCCAAATACCAAGTGTTTCCGTGATATTCCTGTTCCTATGAGCAGAGGTTCAACACCAGCTCGATCCATTCCTAGAACCCCACCTTCTTTCAGAAAATCCAGTCCATCCAGGGCTACACCTGCTAGATTTCCATCCCCTGCACGATCCAAAGCTTCTAGTCCCGCTCCGTCAGAAACTTATTTTATTGTGCGGGAAAGAACATCTTCTATCAGCAGTAGTGTCGGTACAGGACACAATATGCCAACCAGAATGAGAACGTCCTCTGTAAGTAGTGCTGGCTCAAGCAGAAATCCCATGGTTCCTGGATTTAGACACCGTGCTTCATCAATTTCAAGTGCGGGGTCAGCTGATGTCATTCGGAAACCCTCAGATGTTTTGGAAAAGGGAAAACCAGCATGGATCAGAGCAACTGTGGACAGATTCAAAAAACATATTGCTTGATTGTTTAACTAGACTGATATTTGATATTATTTTTATTAATAATTCAACATGAATATTTAAAGGAGAATTAGAAAATATATGGACAGACAAAGGTATAAGCTTGTAAAGAAAAAGATTGTTTATATTATACAAACATGTTATTAGATTTTGTGGAGAGAATTTCTATATTTAGGATATTCCATAATTGTTAATTAACAATTGAAGGAAGCATTGTTTTGGTGAAGTATTTTTTATTACAACTTTACATAACAAAGTGCTGATGGTGCTGAAAATATTTTTCAGCAATGGTATTATTCAATTCTGGAATATCCAATAAAAAATATTCTCTGATGTAAATGAATAATTAAAAGAAAGATTTAAAATCACTAACATTATGAAAATCATATTGCAAAATTACTATCACCTTTTATAAATTAACAAAGCAAAAAAAAAATATAATCGTTAAATGTTTAAACACTGTACAAAAAGATGTAGAGAATATTTTGATACTGTCATTTTTTACTAGCTTTAAAGTTTTATGCAGCTTACGATAGCATATGAGACAATTGTTAGTTTTCATACTTTTCTTACATTCTTTCATCCGTTAGCTTTATTTTAGAAATTTACCGGTTTTTAATAGATTTCACTTAGATGACATTCGAAAATTAGACACTTTCAGTTAATATCATTTTCACAAACTGAAAACAAAAATTGAAATTAGTAGAAAAATGTATTATTTTTAAAGAATATTTAGATAAAATGAAATGTTTAGTACATATAGAGCGTGTCTACTTGACTCATTAGATAATCAACATTTTTGAAAACATAGGCATTTTTTAGATATTTTGATGACAAATTTGTCATATATACATGTACATGTAAAATACTTTATGCAGTTGGTGCTATGATATAAAATGTTATGCAAAATTGGTGCTGTTACATTATACAAGTTATATCAATCATACTTTATATATATGTGTCTGTGGTTTTTTTTTTGTCATGTTTTGTAACTTGTGTTTTTGAAAAATAGCCACATTGAAAAAATCTCAAAAGGGGAGATAATTATGAATCTGTTTGATTTTGTTGTTAACTGCAATTTTTTTTTTTTATTAAAGGATTGTTTGTCATGACATGAAAATTTACTTCATAATTTTGCAAATGTGATCTATGAATTTGAAATACAGCCCCATTTTCAAATTAAAATTTTTATCACAGTCACAAGAACTATCTATCTAAATATATACAGTATTTCAATTAGAATTTATCAATTCAAAAATTCATGGCACTCAGAAATTACATTTATTGCTGGGTCCCTTAAACTGCTGTTTCAATTAATAAAAATCCTGGAAAAGTAATTGGTAAGTATTATTATAAGTTTTCTAAAGAAATTTGAAATATTTAAAGATCCTAAAACCATATAGGGGCAAATCTAACAAAATGACACCTCGATTAAGCAGTTTCAACTGAACCAAACTGATTTCAAAAACCTGACAATTGTTTGAATAGGTCTTCATGAAATTTTACACATGCATCATTTCTGTTTTGAAATTGCTTCATTGGGTTGTTTAAGTTTAAAAATGGTTAAAGTGCCATCACTTAAGAAGCATGTATATTTAAATAGAACAGCCTTATCTGGAATGTTGTGAATACATAGGTAATTAAAAAGTGTTTGTATTGTAAGATGATTTGAAGTTACAATGTGTATTTCTTCCGAGTGTAATGTGATTTTTTTGATTTTTTTTGTGTGCATATTTATATGTATTTTGTTAATGATGTATACTATATTTCATCCTGTTTGTGGTTTAAAGTGTTTTGTGATTTTTATATAGAAAATGTGACAAAAACATAATTGGCAACTGTATTTCATGCAACCATCTGTATGTTCTTTCTGTATTTTTTTATCAGTTCTATTTAATACATTGTGAAAATTTGACAGTTAAAAAAAGATAGCTGACTTTGAAATGTTTTTTTGATTTGACGTACAAATTCTTTTAAAAATAGTTTGAATACAGACTTGCGCGTAAAGAAAACAAAAAATGTTTCTGAAATTTACTATTTACATGAACCTTTGGTATTTGAAATTTTGCATATAAATTTTGTGTAATGCGCTGATTAATTACAAAAGCCGACCGTGCAAGACCCTCATGGGTTGTCAAGGTCGTTAAAAAAAAACCTTGTCGTCAATTATAAAAATTATGTTTTAACAGTTTAATGCTTTAAAGTTGTTTATTATTTCTTAATATCTTACTGAAATATGTAATTTTACCATTCAGAAATATACAATATAACCTTACAGAAATATGAAATGTAACCATACAGAAATATGTAACCTTACAGAAATATATAATATAACCTTACAGAAATATGTAACCTTACAGAAATATGTAATGTAACGATACAGAAATATGTTATATCATATTATATTAATATCATGCTTTAATAAAAAACACTGTCTTAAAATGTTCAACTGCTTTGTTTTTTTCCAGTCTTTGTTAGAGATTTTTGTATATTTTAAGTTTTTACCAAATTTATATACTTTTGTAGTGTACAGATTATATTTTATAAATAGATTTATTTATTTCTCCATATTTTTATTTATATGTTTTCTCAGGTTTTACTTAACCTTGTTGTTAGTAATCTCATTATATTAATTTCTTCTTCTAATACAGTAAAATCTGTTAAAAATTTTGAGAATCTTTGACTTTTTTAACATTTTTTTGGCATAATTTCGATTTGTTGCAACAAAAACACAAAAGAGAAATTTTTGGTATAATTTTGATTGCTTGGGAAAAAAAATAGTTAATTGGTATTTATTTGGAAGAAAAATGATGAATATAAATTTTGGTAATTTAATTTTGTTGATTCAAGAAAATCTTTTGGAAAGGAACGCTGCATGGTGATAAACTTTAAAGAATAAATGATACATTTCGTAATGGAAAAATGATTTAACAAGTTATGATTAGGTTTTACTGTAGAGAAGTGATGAAAGAGAATGAAAAAGAAATAATAAAATGGGATGTTAATAATTAGTTATGATAAGTTTCTGTGATAAAACACCAAAACATGATAAACAGCTCTCACTCAGAAAAAGACACG